TGATATTTTCATTCCGAAGGTAGGAAAGACGGGAAGAATTACCATTGTGAAACATAAAATTGATACTGGTAATACTAAGCATATTCGTCAAACAGGTCGATGATTACCACAGGCGCAAAAAGAGGAAGCTAAACCGATTACTCAGGAAATGAAGAAAGACGGGTTGATAGAACCTTTTAGCAACTCATAGGTCTCTCCGGTAGTCCTGGTCAAGAAGGAAGACGAAATGAGGAGGTTCTATGTGAACTACCATTTATTGAACAATGTTACCATGAAAGATAGTTATCCTTTTCCTCGGATCGATGGTCTGTTGGATACATTGGCTGGAAGTAAACTGTTTTCAAATTTGGGTTTTAAATCTGAATACTGACAGGTTGAAATGGACTCAGTAAATAAATAGAAGACAGCCTTCACCGCAGGATCTGAATTGTGGACATTCAACGTTACGCCATTTTTACTCTGTAAGGCTTCTGCGACATTAAGAGGTTTATAAAAATGTGTTCAAAAAGGTAATTTTGGAAAACATGCCTGGTTTATTTAGATGACATAATTGTCTTGGATGACTTTTAAAAATCATCTCAAAAACTTGGAATAAAAAATTTATCTAAAATCCTTTATAAAAGGTATATAGAGGTATAAAGGTTTAAGATTTAAATAGACTTTTGTATAGTTGGTTGCCTATCACTACCCACAAAATTTCACCAAACTTCCTTAAACTTAACCTAAATTTATGACAAATTCACAATTCAAACTACAACATTGATGGTTGCTACTGTTATAATATTATAATTTTAACTTTTCAATTTTTAAATATTGCTGGCTTCTGTCATATTTAGACAAATACCTTAAGTTACACTGACTGCTTTGTTCCGACTTCCGCCCTAACATGTCATTATTGTAATTTCAATCAGTTGATATCAAAAAATCCTCGTAGACACTTTGTCTCAGGACCAGCAACCCCATGTAGAGTCTTACGTTGCCATGTTATGAATTCCACTGGTATCTTTAACAACATGTGTTTAGAATTCATGGAAAATAATAGAAAGTGGCAACATTGTGCGCCATTCTCGGTACCGGCTTTTGGAGCGACGCACCGCTGCGGGGAAAAAGAGAGACGATCAACACCTAATAAACCATAGACAATGCCTTCATTTTAAGTTCAATTAAAACAGTTTTTATATGTATTTACCACAGAAATAAAGTTTATTTTACAATCACTTTTCTTATGATAGTTGAAGTTAATAATTTCCTCAACAATATGACATTTAAGATCGAATAATGTAACCTAAATTTAAATGAATACCATTTAACGGGTTTTAACCCAAATATTTAGTGATCCAAAACATGTACACTTAGTAAGTATTAACCACATTTTGTATTAACCTTGGTCAACATTTTAAATTTTATGTTCTCTTTAATTAAAGTGGTTATATACTTTTAGGACACACTGATGATAGAATTTACATTCCGAAAACGTTTAATTATATACCTTTTTTAAAGGATTTTAAATATTTATTTTTTGATACATGGTATACAACCAGCTACAGGAACTTAGTTTCCTTGTGGAATTTAGAATATTTTCAATCGCTTTAAAGCTACTCAATTGATGTTAAACCCAAAGAAGTGTCAGCTATTCCAAAGTATTTATAATTTAAGTTATTAATTTATTTATATTTACCATCAGTAAAGAACCAGAATATGAGGGAACAAACGATTCCATTAAGGAATGGCGAGAACTGACTAACAAACATCAAGTGAGAAGTTTTACTGGGCTATGTACTTACTGTTGAAGATTTATTAAGAAGTTTGCAGATATTGCTAAGCCATTAACGCAACTTACAGAGAAAGCAAGAGATAACTGCTGCGATGGATACTTTCAAACTGCCTTTGGGACCTTGAAGAAGCATTTATTCACAGCACCAATATTAGAGTATCCACTGCCAGAAGATTTATCTAAGTTTATCTTAGATACCGATGCAATTAATGTGAGATTTAGAGATTTAGAGGAGTGCTACCTCAGATTCAATAAGAACAGAAACGAGACCTTGAATAGTGCTTTCAGAAGCTGAGAGAAATTATTGCGTCACCAGAAGAGAACTTCTAGCAGTAGTGAAATCAGTGGGACACTTCTATCAATATCTTTATGGACGGAAGTTTTTAATTCGAATCGACCATGCTCTGGATTCGAATCGAATCCAGAGGTTCAGATAGCCAGATATATTGAACGGCTTCAAAAATACGATTTCAAAATTGAGCATTGGGCTGAAGTTAGTTAGCCGCAGAACGCTATTTTTTTTTTTCTAAAAGGCCATAAATTGCTTTTTTATATATATCTACCATGCCCAGTAGAGTGTTCCTACTACAACAAAATTGAATCCACGGAAGCAGCAGTGCTAAGAACAAATATGGTACAGAAAATTTGAAAATGGAAAGAAAACAACCGACCACCACCTTGACAAGATATGTCAAGCCTATGCTCAGTAGTTATGACGTATTGGGCCCAGAGGGACTCCTTTTTAGACTTGTTCGGAGAAGAGAAGACAGTTTATTAGATTTATAACTTCGGTTTTAGGAAACACTAAGTACTATCAATGATTGATTTATTAATATTCGAAAAAGAATAATGTGATACGAACTACTTAGTTATAAATAAATTATTATTAGTGAGGAGCGCTATGAACGATAAGGGAATATAAAAATAACAAACGCCAAACAATATTATTTTGAAGTTATTATAGTTTATTACTTAAAATTACATATCACATATTAATTACGATAGTAACCCTAACAAACAAAATCAATCTCTTAATGCTATAGCGTGAACAATATTTTTTGTTAGCACATCTTTAGCGAGCACAAATAAACTGGATGGTTTACCCACTCGAGAGCATGCTACGTACAATTGCCCGTGTGAAAAACATGGTGTACTCAAATCTAAGCCACAAATAGACATCGTTTGGCCTTGGGATTTGTTGATTGTCATTGCAAATGCCAATCTAATCGGAAACTGAATTCGTTTGAATTGAATTGACACATCTGTAGGTATGATAGGAATTCGTGGTATTAAGATATTTTCACCTTTGAACTTGCCATTTAAAATGCTGGCTTCGATAACGTTTTTCATTAATTTTCGAATGACTAATCGCGTACCGTTGCACAGCCGTGGCGGGTTTAAATTACGAAGCAAGATAATTGGAGATCCAGCTTTCAATTATAAATTATGCGGTGTCATGCCTGGCAAATCCAGTGAGTTCAAAAATTCTGTGGGAAAATTGACAGCTTCGCTGGCATCACAAATTGAATCGATAGATTTGTATGATACCAAGTTCCCTGGCAACAACTGTTGTATCTTCAAATTTAAATTGTTGACGTCTTCATTTTTTGCTGCTAAAATAGCTCTTTCTGCAAGCCACTTATGATTTATGTACTATGTGTATCATGTGTACATCAGGAAATATTTGTTCAATGAGAGTATCTTGCGAATCAAAGATTGTGCAGAAATCGGTCGGTAATTTTACGTATCCAGTTTCATCTGTAGCAACTTTTCTATCACCGATATCTAAGAGTTGGTTTGAGAATGTTTCAGCGGATGAATCTTGAAGCATTTGAACGCGCATATTTACTTTCAGCTGTACTTTTTCAACATTACACCACAATGGAGATGATTATAAGCAAGCGTTGATCTCATCAGCGTATGTTGAACGTGAAGTGTTTGTCTGAAATCACCTGAAAGCACCAACAGAGTGCCGCCAAATAGTTTGTCATTGTTTTTAATATCTTTCAATGTCCTGCTTAACGCCTCAATTGAATGTTTGTGTGCCATAGTACATTTATCCCAGATGATAATTTTACACTGTTTTAGCACGGTAGCCATGGATGATTATTTTTTAATGTTACACACTCTCTCAGGATTATTTTGAATATTTAGTGGCAGCTTAAATACTCAATGAGCTGTTCTGCCTCCATCCAATAAAGTTGCTGTAATGCCCGATGATGCAACGGCCAATGCGATGCCATTATTTGATCGTATTTCAGCAAGATTTGTCCTGCTTGTCCTGCTGAAACTGCGAGCAAAATGCGATTATAAATGGTTCTTTGTTCGTCATTCATTAGTGGGATATTGCGAGTAACAATCGATGCCATTTCTACAGTGTTGTACTGCAGTTCACGATTCATTTCAGTGTTAATTAAATCAGATGCAGTTCGATTTGGCGAATTCATACCGAAATGAGTGAGTGATAAGTTGGTAATGACAATGCAAAGATCCTCAATAGCAATCAATGCTTCATTGTACATAGCGTCGCTGAGTGTTATCGGTAGATCGTTGCACCGTGTACGATGTTGATGCAATATATCATCAGTCATTGAATCTTTGTGATTATCCCACAATATCTGTGCTCGAGCTAGGAAACATGTAGTCAACACTATAGCGAATAGTAGACGAATTTGTAATGCTGTACAGTTCAATGTAGCTTCAGCAAGCATACACTCTCACTGGTTGTCGTGCCGAGTGCAAGGCATGCGTCTTTATATGTTGGATACTGTTTCCCATTCACTTTACGTATATCTTGAAATGATAATGGGCCAGTAACATAAACCAACAATAGTCGAAGATAAAAGCACTTAGTGTGTCTTGGATTAACTGTAAAGAATCGCCCCAAAGCGTTCGATTTAAATAAATTGAGACATGCATCAACTGGTGAGCCTTGCTTGCGGGGCATCCATTTTTTTGTTTGAGCCCATGTGAAATATTGTGGTACTTGTGAATAGAGTAATGTTTATGCAAAGGCACCAAAACCATCCATATTATTACACAATTCAAAAAATGCTGTGAGTGTAGTTTTAGGTGGATTTGTAGCACGATCAATCACTGTCTCGTTCGTAAAAAATACACGGTGACCGTTTTCAAGACGGCCGGCTAAATGAACAACTACTGGATACCGTTCATGAATTGGAAAACCGAAGATACGCCAAGCAGCTTTATTGGAGCTGATGAACCGTCAAATTTGGTAGAGCGTAATTTCATCGTCTTTATTTATTGGAGGAGCATTTACATTAGTATTTTCTATTCTAAACACAGCCATATCACTGCCTTTATGGACATACTTGCAAATATATTTGATGCTCTTCACAGAACGGGAAAACTCAATATTAATTAAACTCAATAAATAAGCATTGTATGTCTTGCTTAGCAGAGGTGAATACGGCACCACCCAACTATTGTCAATGTCAATGTCTGTGTTGTTGATATTTTTATTAAATGAGTATCCGCCATTATCCGGACTTCTTCGACAATATATTGGATATCCGTCGGTAGTTGTTATCGTATCATTAGTGAAATCTTTAGGGAAATTTTTAGTACTTTTTCCATCTGCCATGCAAGGCGATGAACGATGAAGAGTACCACATGGACCATGGATCATGTTTGCTGTAACAATATCAGCACTTGGTCAGTAGACGGATCTGGAATTTCCGCAGAAATGATACTATCGATTTCTTCAGGACGGATTTTGTCGATTAACCAAACCAAAATGTGCGCAATAATCGTACCCTCTTTTGCCATTCAACTGAATACAGCCAGCAACGTGTGGGACCGAATACATGTAATTTAGTAATGTAACTTATTACAGACTTCAACTTTTGTCTGAATACACGTGCTGTAATGTCATGACGATGTATTGCATTTTGGTCAGTCAATAGCAAATATGTGATCTCTGGCCATTTTGGATTACATGTGAACGTGATAAATAAACACGGTCGTCCATATTCGCGCACGTAAGCCATAGCATCCTGTATATATTCTTGCATATGACGTGGACTGCCTATATACGATGATGGTAAAATGACAGAGTTACCAATTTCGGCGACGTCGGCGTTGTTGTTAGTAGCGTCTCGTAAGTGAATATACTCTTCCGCACGCAGCTTGAGTTGATTATATTGTAAGTATCGTAGTCGTTCGCCCTCTATCTTTGCGTACTTGTCGACAATGAATTGTTGACAAAGCTCACGACATCGTAGAATGACGTTGTCCAGGCCGCGCCGAATCATTAATCGGTACGCATAATAATCTTTCGAGCCAGGGCCACCTATTCCGAAGTACAAATTCGCGTTAACCTTGCGCCGCTACGTCACTTGCAGCTTAGTATTCACATTGCTCTTAATTGTATACATAAGCACTCGTAATTTAGTCATACTAAATATGGATATTTTGCATATTATTTTACTGTCTTCATACATTTTAAATAAAAAAGGAATGTTTATCATGTTTTCTTAGTAAAATATATTTAATTTTTATGCGAATTAGAACAAATAAGGTATTAGTACAAAAAGATAGCTACTTATTTAGGTACCTACATACTTCCACTTTTTATAAACTTTTAAGAAGGAACAAAATTTTTATATTATGCATAATTGATAAATATATAGTTAAGTTTAAATAATTAAAACAACCATCACTTACAGAAGTTAGATGCCAATTTTCAAAATAAATATTACGATCGCCTTAATATTCTTGGTAAATAACTATATATAAAGCAGTTTTAAAACAATTTGCGTTTAAAAATATAAAACTATATATCTTATGTAATAGTTTTTTCTATTTTTTTTAGTACGTGCTAAAATAATTTTTTTTATTAAAATCTTTTATACGGAAGTACATACGCGATCGAAAAAATATTTTCTTAGCATCTTGAGGACAATCAATATTAACACTTGCGGATAACAGACTTGAAATATATTGTTTGCCAGTAAATATGGTATCTCCATTAAAGTTTTGAAAAATTTGCTCTAGTTTTTCCAAATGAGCCATAAATTCGTTTGAAGGTTTACATAGTCCACCTTCTGTCAAATGATTGGTCCAGGTGTAAGACGTCGAACTTGGGTTTAGCTAAATTTGGTAACTTGCTTTTAAGCTTACTACAAATAAATCCTCCTAAATGATCTAGTCCATCATATCTTAAATCATCGAGTTCTTCACAGAGGACTATGTCATCTCCATCCGTGGGATTGGTGTCAATGATTGTTTTTTTAAGCAAGCTTTTCTATCATACTACCGCTCATAGTTAATGTAGGAGTACAGTAATCTGAAAAAGCACCTTCATCTTTTCCCATTAAATAAGAACGCAGTCGGTATTTAAAATCTAAAGAAGTTGGATGATCGTTCAAACAACCTTTTGCTCTTATGACTCCAAAAAAATCTCCCAGGGAACTTGGTTTAAACGCCTCGTCAAAAGATAGTTCATATTATATCGTTTGCCTACATCTTCAAGCAGCAACTGCAGAGCTTTATTTGATATAAGAATACCTACAATGTTTTGTAAAATGTTATAAATGTGTTTTTACTTTGATATACTGTTTAACCTTTTTGGAATGGAAGCAATGATTTCTTGCCTTTAACGCGCATTGTTGAAATTATGTCAGACATTCTATTTAAAACATCATTTTGGGCTTCTAACTCCAAACCATAAACCCAGTTTCTTGTTCGAGTGTCGCTCACAGGAACGCTCACATTAAATACGTCAAACCAATCGTTCACCTAACCCCCTCTGTGGCTCAGTGGTAAGAGCGCCTGCCTTTAAACCTAAAGGTCGTGAGTTCGAATCCCACCTGGGTGGAAATTTTCGTTTATTAAAAAAATTAATAAATGAAAATAATTTCTATCCTTGTGTGATCGGTACACACCCGAGGGACCGCAGACGTTCGGATACAATTAGCGTCTCTTAGCAAAGACAATGACGTCGACTTTGCTAAGTATCAAGACAATTACTCTACACACAAACACACACATTACACCTCAAATTGTAAGATTGGCGAATGGATTTAGTGTCCGCAGTCATTTAAACACAAACAAACAACAAAAACAATCGTTCACCTATAACAAGTTAAAACAAATTAGTAATTGATGTTTACCTTACAAATTGAAACACTTACTAATTTAAAAAGATCTGCCAATTGTGTCAAATTTGTGTCTTGATTAATGAGACCAAGCATGCCGCACCTACTAATCGCCTTCGATACCGTATGGGAGAATAATTTTGCAGCATGTTTTATTCTCTGCCTTTGAGCTCCTCTCACATTAAGCTTTTCTTTGTCTGTTTTGTGGGTAATTTTTAAATCAGAACCTGTCGTTGCATTAAGAACAGATTGAACACAGTCCTTATTCAGTTCTAGTCCATTAAAAATAAATCCTTCATCCACAAAATGATTTCTGATAAGCTTTAATAGGTGTGGCACGTCAGCAAAAACATAAACATTTTGACCATTGTGTGGGTTTTTAAAATAAGGTTTGGATTCTGTAATTTCCAATTCTGTGTGCAGTCCCCTATTTCTACCCCCTAAATAACAAACCATGGCTACTACTTGGAAACCTAGTGAAAATTTGTAAGTAAATATGAGTGGCTAAATATGGTATGCTGGTATTCACCTGCTTCTTCTACAAATGTAATAATCTCAGATAGGATAGAAAAAGTCATTTTTGTGTCATAATTGTAATAGACAGGCTGTTTCCACTATTTAAATAAACCTGTCAGCATAATTTTTAAATAAACCTGTCAGCAGTTGATGTTTAAAATTGACATAAAAATTAGTATCTGTAAAATGCTTTGAACAAATATAAGCCGTCTTTGGGTTAAATTTATCTTTCCTACCGGTAGCGTGCACCCACTGTTTAATTAGATTTTCCTCTTTAGGGAAACGAAAAAACCTCGTGTCAGGGCAAGGATTTCGCTTGCTCTGGTTATCAGAGGAACAGCCAAGTACCGCACAACGCATATAGTAAAAATTAAAAATATAATTGTGAGAAAACTCCGAAACTGATAACTGCACTCTTCGGTTGCTAGTTTCTGACTAATGCCGCTACGCTGCCACTGACGTCACTCCCTGGCCGAAGGTCGAGCGACCGTGCGCAATTTATGATTATTAATTTAAATTAATTCCGTTCAATAGTTTAATTGTTTTGAATCTCGTTGTTTTATGTTTATGCAATATCCGTCTTGCCCCTTCCAGAATATTAGCGGATATTGGAGAGCATCATATGAACGATGTGTATCAGCAATGAACTGAAGATTAATATTTCTTCTACGAATCACAATTTCTCGTGAACCTGTACGATCGCCAACCATGATTCCAGCAACGTCTTCAACAACAGGTGCATTGAATCTACGAATATGTTCTCCAGCTGGTGTTTTATCAGGGTTAATGACAATAGCGTGATTATCGCTTTGTGATTTGTGCATGTGTGATTTGAATATTTTCAACAATTCACTATGCTCGTTCAATAGAGCGTCCAAGTCGCTAACGATGCCCCTGGCAAAAAATGAATGAAGGTTATTATAGTCACAACGTGCATTCACGCGATTAGCAAGTTCGCTTCCGGAATCCTCGCCGACCATAAAGTAGATTGGTAAAAATTTATGTGGTTCGTTTGGCATTGGCAGCAATCAGCCCATTTTATGATAAACTTGGCCTCTGATTTTGAATGTAGAATTGTATTGTTGACCATTAGCATTAGTATTTCGAACTATTTCTGTTGCTCCAAACGATGTCATTTGAAAGCAGGTATTGAATGTTCGAATTGACTTCAGGAATGCGTTAGAATCTGGATTCGTGCCGATAAGTAAACCATTCAATGGTTCAGGTAGTGTTTCAATTTCAGGTAGTTGCACTTTTCCTGACGCGCAACACATCCCAGGTGGCTCATTTTTGAATTTGAGAGCATCACAATGCGGACATTTCTTATCCATAGCACCAATTACCACTTTTGAATGAACATAATATTCAATATCGGGCAGGTAGACGCAAAAATAAATCAGATGTAAATGCACGATGTACCTGTTGACGTTGTTGATAATTTGTTCTGCGTCTATTAACCGTAAAACGTCGTGATTGTCGTTGTTCTAAACGTATAACTTCATTACACACAGCTCGTGTATCCTCTGGTTGTTCTTGACGCAATTGCTGAATGCTCACACGTGCATCAGCATTTTGTTGCTGGGCTTGTTCTTCGGTTTTTTTGGGATCTTTTAATCCCACATACTTCTGGACCTACTTGTATTACGGCTCAAATGAGCCCCTTTGCGTTTTCTTGGCATTGCTCACTCTACAAAACAGATATAAATAGAATTAATGAAATTACGGAAAACGTTATAATTAGATGGAAAACGTTATAATTATAATTACGGCCAGGATTATAGCGAAAATATTAGTTGAATGAAAAAAAATTTGAAACAATAGTTGTAAAAAATTCTAATAATTATATAAAAAAAGTATACTTACAACACAAAAGCCGTTGTTGGTTCTAGCTCGTGACACGTGTTGAGTACTTTTAAGGTTATGTAAAAACTTCATTATCTGATCTAATTGTACCAAATACACTTGAAATTAATAATTTTATTATTATGAATAAAATAGTAATAATTAATAGTTA